AAAAAAAAAAAAAAGAAAAAGAAGAAAAAAAAGAAAAAATAAAGGAAAAAGACAAGTCGGATTGATTGCTTCAGCAGTAATTGTTTCTTCAAAACGTTTTAAAGGCGCATCTTCGCAAACTTTTGTTTTACACAATAATTAATCAAAAAAAAGGGATGAATTACAAGATTACAAAATCAGATCAGACCAGACAAACTCATCCCTAGTCCTTTCTCTTTGATCGTTACCAATCTTTTAGTCGAATGATGAGTCACGCGACATAGTCGGTGTATCGGCCAAGTCGTTCCGCTCTGTTTGTTCATCGTTAGCGCCGTACAAACAGGCCTACACTCGTGCGGTAGAGTTTGAACAGCTTTTCATATACTTTTTAACGCTTCTCCCTTTCTCTTTCTCTCTTGCTCACTCACAGGTCTTGCCACACGATGGTAGGTAACCTCTTCTCCAATATATTTCGTCATTCCTTCTCGTCATTGTGACTGTGACGTACATGTGCATGCATATACACGTGTGTATCTCTTTCGAGTTTGCAAAGAATTCAAATTTTCATTTTTCCTGCGAAAAATTTTCTGATTTCTTTTCTTTTTTTTTTTTTTTTTTTTTTTTTTTGCCAAGTGATGTATGTAATAAAGTAGTAATAAATTTCGGATCGGCTACGAACAAAGAAATAGCGTGAATGGAAGAAGGATAATGGGAGAGAGAGAGATATTAAAAAAGGTACAAAGTTGGAAAGAAGGGAGGGGAGGGGAGGAGAGGAGAGGAGAGGAGAGGACAGGACAGGGGGAGGAAAAAAAAGGGTGAAGTTGGTGCGTAGTCAAACAACCTCCAATTAACGGACGCTAGATCTGGAGCGAAAGAATTGAAGGGTTCTTGGATCTACCGTCTCACCCCTGCCGTCTTTTTTGCTATTCTCACCCATACCGGTCATATAACCCCCCTCAGGCTTTTTCGCGTGCCGCAGGAACCAACTAATGAGAGCAGCAGCAGGCGCGTTCCCTTCGTGCTATGCGTGTACGAACGAGACAAACGACTGTGCCTGTTAGATCGTGCGGGAGTAGCACCATCTGCGCGAGACGACTACTTCAAAACCGGGGTGTAGCTCTTGTTACAAGATGGATAGGACGATGATGTGTACGTGTATGCAAACGACTCGAATGATCGCAACAACCTGTGACCATTCTTTGCTGAAGTGGAACCGTTAGCAACGTTTCGTTTCGTTTCGTTTCGTTTCGTTTCATTTAATTCCGCAACGTTTATCGTTGACTATCGGCAAACTTTGTTAATAAATTGATTCTCGGATTTTATTTGCAACGAGTGTAATACTCGGATCGTTCGTTCGATACATATTTCGACACGTTGGCAATCGATTGTTAAACTTTGATGATTGAACATCTTGTTCCCTCCTTTCGCCTTTATGATTCATGGAGTATCACAAATAGCCAAACAATACGCCTAAAATTTGAAACCTAAAGCTCCAAGCTTAAAATCTAAAATCCTCACAAACCTGAAACGACGCGTGCTGTTTTCTTTTTTTCACGTACGCTCGATACGGGTATATTATTTGTTGCGTGGTATGAACAGACGAAAGGAAAGGAAGATTTTGTGATACATTGTGCGTAACGTTTATCAGTTATCAGAAGGAAGCGGTGTACGCACGTACGAGTGTGCGTACATCTTGTTTATTCGAAACAGAATGCGAAAAAGATTGCGCAGGGATAGTTTTCACTACCGTATTCGATATAATTAAAGATCATAAATAAACACAATGGTACAAGGACCGGTTAGGAAGAGCGAGAAGGAAGCAGTGGCAACGGTGGCATTGCCTACGTAGAAGGGATATTCGCTCGGTAGGTAAGAGCGTATTCAATGCAAATGGCCATAGGGGCTATCTTCGTGCGTATGGGTGTACGTTAGTATGCTTGCATGCTGCATGCTTGGCTGCTCGATGCTTTTGCTCAGAGTTTCAGTCGAGTCTCGAAAGGTGACCGTTGCCTCTAAGTACATGGTACATACCTCGTATGTATATACAGATATACCAACAGTATATCCGTATACGGATAGTTGATCGTGAATCTATATCCACATACATACATACATACATACATACATACATACATACATACATACATACATACATAAGGTAGGCGTAAGCGTAAGTAGGCACGCTATTTCGCCAACTACCCATCGGGTGGTTCTCCAATTTTGAATCAAACCAATGCTCCATATTATATAGGTACTATTAAAAGACTGAAGGTTTTCTCTCAAGTTTAATCGGCTAACCTCGAGTCTTGGTACGTACGTACGTACGTACGTACGTACGTAAATACAGCATATCGCGTACGTACGTAGATTAAGTGTTTCCTTCTTATTCTTAATTGTTACATAACGGATTCATTGTACAAATTTACAAGACTGTCAAAGTCGAACGTGGTACACGTGAATGTGAATCGTAGAAGAACGAGAAATTTGACTTGAATACTTTAACAGTCATCTATTCGATTTATTTTTTAAACGGGAGTGTATAGATTATAAATACGTGAGATCGATCGAAAATTTATTTCCATCACAAAAGTCACGCCTTTGTCTTTACACGTACGTAAACTCGAACAAATCAATATGTAACACGACTAATTTTATTCACAGTTGATCAAAGTTTGTACGAAATTATCTTTCGCAAGATAATTATAAACAACATGTATGTACGTGATGTGAATTATCTATTAAAATCTTTTTTCAACTGTTATTGTTACTTTTATTAACATTATTATTGCCAAATAAAACTTTTGTACGTTTCTTTGTTTTACAATCTTTTTTTTTTTTTGTAACATATGTACATATATGTATGTGTACGCAAATAAATACTCTCCGTACTCTCCAAAGTACCTACAAAGGCTTTTCTTTGTTACAATTCCTTTGATCCTTTTCAGTACAAGTTTTCGTTTCACGATAACTTTATCAAAAAATTCGAAAGGTTTAAAAGGATTGGCCATATTGACGGAAGAATTGTCCGCACAGGAGAGTTGCTCGCGACGCGACGCGCCAGCAGTCTGGTCCGGTATGCCCACGGATTCGATATAAATAGACACGAGCGTGCAGCGTTCGTGCCCTCGTGTGACTATTCGATAGACAACGCATAACCATAGAAGAACAGACAACGTTATTCCTTCCTTCCTTCCTTTGAAAGAAGTTGAAGAAACGAATTCACGTACGAGTATTTGTGTATTGTAACGAGTATTTACGTACGTGCCTTGTGTATACGTACACGTGCATATGTGTATAACTAAATATAAAATACCAACGTCGTTCTTATTACATTCATACTTGGCATACTTTCTTTTGAAAAAGAAAAAAAAAAAGTTCTTTGTCTGACATCGAGATCTTCTCCTGCTCTTCTTCTCAAGACTTTTTTAGATGCATCTCCTCTCTATTGGTCGATCCGGTTTTTCACGTTCTTCACGTTCACAAAGTTAATGACGGACCAATTTCGGAAAGAAACGGAAAACAAGGGGGCAAGAAGTTTATTCGATTGCAGATTAACGACGTAAATGTAATCGTATTTGAATTCACAAAATCCCGTAACACGCAGACTGGATCTTGGAAAAATACGCGTTACACTCGTAGTACCATACTGGCCATACGAGTACAGTGACTGTCCGTTTAACATTTAAATTACATCACTCTTGCATGGTTCTTGTCACATCGAGTTGTCGCTAGTTTTCCCAAGTCGGACGAGCGATACAATTTACGTCACGCAACCCGTCGCTATCCGATTTCGCTATTCGTATTTTTTCTGCAGTTTTCCTCCTCTGATCGAATTCTGACACGAAACGTTCATTTCTTCACATTTGTTTGATACTTTGTTTCGTAATCGGTCACGTATTCCGAGTGCGTGTGTCTTCGAATAAGATGCTCGACATACATACGCGCGTCATTGCGCGCTAATTGCGAGAAAAGAAGGAAAAGATCTACGTCTATGCTTCTTGTCATCTCGTCTAACCAAATAAAGCTACGAGAGGGAGAAAAACCAAGAGACGGGGTGGGAATGTAAGTACAAGAGGACAGACAGCAAAGAGACGGGATCCGGAGGGAGGGGGAGGGAGGAGGAGGAGGAGGCAGCAATGTAGTTGAAAGTGACCCCCCCTCCAGCCCCTCTTCGCCTCCTCCTCCTCCTCCTCCTCGTCCTCTTTCTCTTCCACCACTGATTCAGGCTATGTCGCGAGGGTACTCGATTACTCAATTAAACCGTAGTGTCGGTAGGCGTGGCAGTTGGACGTACTCACGCACATATATCACGGAGGTACATCACATACTGGATAGAAACGGGATTTGTACGTACATATACGAAAACGGAGGAATATGCTCGATTACTACACCTCTACGATTCTTGGATGAATACAAAAGAATACCTATCAAAAGCAATATATATACACTGGTATACATATACTTCACGTATATCACACGAAATTAACATACATAAGACGTCCAGCAAAAGAGAGGAGAGAAACAAAACTACAAAACACAATTACAAATACATAAATCACATTTGGTCGTTGGTTTGATGCTGTTAATTTATTTCATTTCATTTCATTCGTAGCCAAATTCCGTTTATATTGTCTGCTTCGATTCAGTTTCATACTACGGAGACAATGAATAATTTTGAAGATAGTTTTGAAGGTAAATAAGAAAAAGAACAAAGGAAAATAAAAGTTTCGTTAAATGAAAATGAAAATGAAAACCATTAGATCGAGCAAAGACACAAACAGAAACTTAAACTTGAAGCAAACGCAAACGCAAACGCAAACATAAACGGGAATGGTGGGCTCTATTCGATATTTATCGGTGTTCGTAGATTGTATCTTTCGATAAGCGTTTGTATGCGTTGCAACTCTCAGACTGTGCATTGCAAACTTAGCTGTCCACGCCGGAAATACCCAAGTATGTACTATACCATTCGGACTGAATGGTGTCGTTGTTTCAGCAGCATTTACTCTATACCACTCGAAACATATATAAATCTATATGTAAAAAAATCTGATTCGATGCGTTTTGAAGAGAACGATGCAATTATTATAATTTGATTGTGTACATTGACCTGTTATGTATTTTAGATTGAAATAGAAATTCATTCTGAACACTTTTAGCAGGCAATGTATGGTACAATTTGGCGTAGATATGTATATACACAAAAGAAAAACTGACTTTTCATTATTTTTTCCTATTCCCACAAAGTATAACGTTTTCTTGGAATAAATTTTTTTCATAATTCGTAATCTTCCAGACAACACTGCACTTTTATTCCAGAAACTATGAAAGAATGGGAACGGAAGTTGGATTACCGTAAATACAGTCTGAAAAAAGAACTGTGGTTCTTTCAATGCGAACAAAAGATTGAACTTGGAACTTTAGTCACTTTAGTACAACGTGCAAAAGCCAAGAAAAAATGAAGAATATAGCATATCATTGATAAAAATATATATTTCTTTCTTTCTTTCTTTCTTTCTTTCTTTCTTTCTTTCTTTCTTTCTTTCTCTTCTCCTCGTGTATAATATGATAACATAAATTCTTGATCCATATATGATACTTTTCTTGATTTCAATTTGTATGTCGTATAATTCGTCAAACATTTAGCAAATGGTCGTGAGGCACGATCAATCGAGTCTTTTAAAGAGAAAAGACAAAAGATGGTAAAAGAAAGTAAAATGTGACGATACGATGCGAAAAAATACGATTGCCTGGACGATACTTGGTCATTGTTAAAATTACGTAGGAATAATAGCAATGGAATAAATATTTTGTACGTAATGTAACTTGTATAACAACTTGTTTTTAACAGTCGCAACAAACCGTATTGCATTTACAACCGTACGTGTGACATACGTACATACGTTGTTATATTATACCTGAAGAAAACTCGTTGGTTTTCTCGACTTTGAAGAGACCAAGTGAACGGAAACATTTATCGTGCTGGTACTTGGTATCAACGAATCCGTCGATATAGAGCGTTTTTCTCCGTTGGGATTAAAAGCTGTAACACCTCCCCGCTGCCATCGTTGTTCCCCTTACCTTTCTCCCTTTTTCCATCCCCTCTCTCTCGCTACGTCTTTCTCTTCCCACGTGTCTCTTATTCTCTTTGCTCGTCTAACCCTCCAACTCTCATTTTCTTCTCCTCTTTTCCCCTAAAAGCCGCGCGAAGTAACCCTGGCACGACACGGCGGTTCTATGCCGTCCGGCTAATCGATACGCGGTGGGATAGAGCGAACGAATGGGGTTCCGAATGGGGTCCCTCTGACAGCGGAGGGTTACAAGCAAACGGGACAGATAGGTGTTATTTCGCACGAGAATATCGAAAGGAAATCCAGAGAATTAAAATCGACGACACAACATTTTCGTCATGTCGAAACGATGTCAGTCGAACGGAAAGCAAACGTGATAAACGAGATTAAATGTAAATCGCTTTAAACTGACGATCGTTTTGACTTTCTATCTGAGGATGGTGATTCTACATTTCTACTTATTGGGCTCTGTACGATTTCTCCTCGCTGTACGAACAGACGCGTCGTCATCAAGTGCCAATCGCCGAAATTTCACTACGTATTTCATCATTGCGTCCATTCCTTCGAATCCCTTGCTCTTTTTCTCTGCAATTGAACGCCAAGCAAGACGAGCGTTGGCCTGCAACCGACTAAATTTTCATCATTCCCGTTGCGATTTCTTCTTTCATTGATCCGCCATACCATCTGTGTATGTACCAACCAATTCTTTTTCCACTTGTCTGTTCAAGTGACAGAATAGTTGGATCATCGTCAATCAAGTTTGGAAATCTTTGCTACCCCTTCTTTCTCTATTCGCATTTTCCCTCCTATCCTATCTCTCTCTCTCTCTCTCGTTCGTGATATTTTTTTGATTCCCTTTTTCCTTTTTCTTTTAAATTCCCGACCAGTTTATTTCGGTACGGCACTGTGTTCGGTTGAACGCAGTGTATTCGCAGCAGCACAAAGCCTTATTCATGGTCGTCGGCCATAACTGCCGACGTTTGCGTCCCTACGGCCATTGCGATCGCCATCTTTACCGGCGTCGAATGCCAAGTTTCTTTGCCGAAATCTTGCAACAGCAAAATGAATTTAAAAAAAATGTCACTTGTAACGTATTTTTTTCTTTCCAATTCGAAATTTCATTACGAATTTGAAAAATAGAATGTAAGAACTGAGTGGACAAGCTCAATTTTCCAGCTCTGTTCCGAGCGTATTGAAATACATTACAAAGATGGAATATATCACATGTTTTCTCTTTTCTCGGTTTTTTTTATTCTTTTCATTGGTGTTTCTCTGTCAATAGACTCATTTGGCCAGTTTAAGAAGAAGAAAACGAGAAGAAGAGATACTTGTCAGATAAAAACACAAAGAACTGCGGTATGTGCGAGGTGAGTACGTAAGAGGTGAGACTCGTAAGAGAAAGACGTGATGATTTATGAAGATAATTGATTTGCGCATCGATCGTTTGAGCGTAGAAGATCGACAAAAGTGTAACAGTAATAGAAATTATAATTAATAAATGCGAGAATGAGAATAAGAATTTGTTTCAACAATTGAATCGTAGATTAAGAGAAATTTTGGAAGATGAGACGATTGCTTGATTTGAAAATCGTGTTAATGCGAACACATTTATTATACGCAACACACTACTACCACCATAAAATGACAAGCTGTGCTGCATCACGTCGCACAACACAGCACTCTGCTGGTCGAGCATACGTTCGCTGTAGATACAGCTCCGTATCGATTTCTATTCTCCTCCTCTTTTCTCCCTCATCCCCACTGCTTCTCTCACTCTTTCTCTTCACCGGTACACGCGTGTGTAAGTAGTGTATATATGCATATGCGTATATATATATATATATATAAAATGTAGATGTATGTATAAATATGCGCGAATATGTAGCTGCAATTGATGCACGAACAATATGCACTTCCACGTGAGCATATGAATATTTCGATTTGTTCACAACGTTGGATTTTCATTTTCATTTTCATTTCCATTATTGTCTTTGTTTCCGTCTCACTCTTCTCACTTCTCTTACAACTTTTGCTTTTCCTTTGCCGTGAAATTCCATGAGAAAATTTAGATACTCGTTTTCGATATCACTTGTCTATTTCCTTGGCCGTTAAGATAATATTTTTCATTCGTTGAAACAATATACAACAGAATAGATGATACAAGTTTTTCGAGAAACAACCGTTCCCGCGATAGGGAACGCGTCAACATGTTTCAACCGAGTTTCAAACGGAACAAGCAAACTTTCATTCCAATAGAAATTGCTGCTCTATCTTTTTGTTACATTACCCGTCAGTTTGTAATTTTTCTATTTTACGCGAATTTAACAAAACTGCAAACAATCGACGATCATTAATCGTAATGCATCAGAGAAGAAAATAGATTCTACTCGATGTGGAAGGGTTGCTGTCTGCTCTCTCTCTCTCTCTCTCTCCCTCTCTCCCTCTCTTCCGATCCCCTTCTCCTTTCGTCTGAATATCGATCTGCCTTAAACAAACTCGGCTTCGTCCTCCGTTTGTCCGAACGTAATCGACTCGTTCTTTATTTCGTACAGATCAAGATCTTCTAATTTATTTCGTTCTTCGTGCTATGCATAGACGCGTGCACACGCACGCGCGCACGCGGAACACGTCGGTGTGATTATTTGCGTTGTTGCACTTTTCGTAAATTGCCGAAAAGTTTGTTAGTTGAGGGCGCATGATCGAATTGGCCGAAGCCTGATCTGCTTTCGAAATTTACGACTTGATTGTTCGTTAATTGTTCGAACGAAGATAACCAGGTAGGATGCGGTCTCGAATAGAAGACTTATCGTTAAAAGACTTACCTGCAACAGTTAGCGTTGCATTTCGACTTGGAACGGAGCCTGCTTGATTTCTTGCAACGCACCAATAAACTCCGCCGTCTTGTTCCTTCTTTCCGTGCATTACTCTCAAGAAGAAAAGAGATCCCGTAGGAAGAAGAACACGATGAGATTTTGCATCTCCCGGTGATGTTTGAACCAGTTCACCGTCCTTATACCACTCAATCACGGGTTGAGGTTTACCTTCCGCCTTGCAATTCAACGTTACCGGTTCATTCTTAGCCACTATTATATCCGAAGGATGTTCCGTTATACGCGGTGATCTCAATTGCCCTGAAACCAAAATGAATCGATTGATTCGTATTAAAGACAGTTGCGAAAGTAGTCAAAAATATCTATATTTTCTATTTTTTCTGTTCATCGTCATCGTATTCGTTATTCTAAAAAGAAATTTTCAACAGTATATACACAAGTATGTACATTTATCAATATACATACATACATACATACATGTACATACATTTTCTCTACTGCGTTGAATTTTACTTATATTCGATGGGCCTGTGTACAGATACACGAGCGTGCGCCTATTTAGGTCGGTTGTAATTCAACAATGTACAACATAGCCTCCAAATTGTTGGTTGTACGATGAGGATAGACACGCTTGCGTTACCTGCTTCAAGCTGCTTGCTTGAACGAAGCTATTTCAACTATCCCGATATCGCTAGCGGGATTCTAAAATATTCTTGGAACGTACAGATACAACCTACAGACCACAAGTAGTCTACAATCGCTTCATGCAGTCTGCAAATTGTACTCGAACCTGAACGTCTGAAGTAAAATTACCCGAGAAATGTTTCACATCTGTAAGAACATTCACTCAAATACCGAGACATGTCAGCGTTCCTTGTCTCAATTAGCAGATTCCTAGTTCTAAAATACCTATCTTTATCTTTCCCTTCAATCGCGAACGATCGAGTTTCGTCGAATAACGCCAACATGTTATATTAAAGGTATTAAAATGCGACAAAGCGAATGAAGACACGCAGTAGCTTTATACGATATACGAGTATGACGTAAAATTCGAATACACCACAGAAATAATATTTTATCGTTTCAGAGTACAGACATTAGATACGTTCGCAAACTGATAAGAAAACGTAGTTATACATACCTACCTACGTATGTAACAAAATGTTATGTAATAGATCAAAATGTTATAGCCATCTACGATGTACAACGTACGAAAGTTGTTAAAACTGGAATAGGTGTTTACATGACTTTTTTTACACGCATACTTGTAACTCATGGAATAACGTACGTACGTACGTACGTACGTACCGTACATACGTGTGATAGACGAACGTGTAGATAGACGATTGGGGAAGAAAGGAAAAAGTCTTTTTACGTTATCGTTTGTTACATACTATTTCAAAAATGTCAAAATTATACAATTGACCGATGGAAGAACTTATTTCTCTTCAAACGAATGAATATAGAATTTCTCCAGAGGACAAGTGGAGTTTTTCCAAACTTTTTTACAAGCAAACGTCTTTACTTAGATACAGACGCCATGCGACACATAATCTTTATCGTGCTCTATAAATGTCTTTCACGGTGTTCGCGTTTGTACTACATGCACCGAAACGTACACGGTTGTACACACATTTGCGCATTTTTCTTTTGTTCTCCCGCCTCAGTATTTGGAAACAATAGACATTGTGGCTAAATTAAAATCGCCTCCGGAGTTTTCATATTTCGCTGTTGAACAGAGTCGTGAGCGACAACAGCGCACGTGAACCAACTTCCAGTTCTTACGCTCAGTAGGCCTGAGGCATCTCGTTTCATTTCAGTTCTAACCTTCTCCGAATCAAGCTATCTCAGCAACCTGCCTTGCCAACCCGCTGTCACTCGCGTATTTCTTTTTTTATTTTATCATATCCACCTCTCTGTTTCCTCGTTTCTCTTCTCTTTTTTCTTTTTTTTCTTTTTTTTTTTT